TAGTTATAATATATTAACCTAGCTTCAACTAAACTTATAGGAATAGGATACAACCACACAAACAATCTATTTATGTCCTAAGTGTGATTTTATCTTTGTTATAGGGTCATTATGTTGTGTATCCTAGAATCCCACCCTTGATCCCTCAATCTACATATGAAGTATAATAGTATATGTCTTTAATTAGTTTGTAGTTTATTAAAAAATATAAGAGTTTACGTGAATGAATTACCATTTAAATAGTAGTACAAAAATACTTGAATAGATAACATTTTTAAACCATTGAGCTAACTTAAACATTTGGATCAGGCCGGGTTCGAAAAAGAACTTGATCCAAATGTAGAAGCAACCCTACCCAAATGTGTCTATATCACTAATATAAGAAGTTGTAAACAAGATATTGCCTTATTTTTGGGATGAAATTTCAATCAAATTGAGCCAAGTACTCTATCTTTATTTTTTCAATTTCACTTGAATTTTTATGGTTCTTCTACGCTGGAAAGGCTTAGCAAAGGTCCGAAACAAGTGTTGACATTTTGTGTAAATTCAATTAACAAAACAAAAACAATCATGTCCTAATAATAAAAGGGGTCACTCGTGCAGGGAATCTTATTATATCATAATTTGAATTAATGATTGTCAATGTATATATGTTTGGTGTCCCTGCCCTTTGTATAAACAATCATTTTTCTGTTACGATTGTTCTCTAGAATATATTGAATGTGAGGTGTCTTACATGATACGGAGTATTATATTCATCTATGATACATTGATATATGATGATAATTCGAAAGCTCTCCAGGCCATTTTCCTTATCAACTCTAAATTAAAAATGGGTTGCTACAAATTAGTTGCAACTTTTGTCAAACAGGTTGCTACCCCCTCTCTCTACAAAAACTGTTTATATCTGATGGTTCGACGGGTGAGTAGGCTAGTTTAGGGTGGTTTTAGGGTGGACCAAAGTGAACAATAATGGTGGTTTTAGTGTGATTTAGGGTAATAAGTAAGGTTGTTTTGGAGTAGTTTAGGATGAGTGTGAGTTGTTCCAAGGTGTTAGAGGACCAACTCAATTAAAAATTTAAGTTGATAATCGAAGCCCAAATCGATTTATATACTCTATCACGTGCCCTCACATGAGAGTTATTTGGACTTGAAGTGTGGATGTGGCATGGGCCCCCTTATACACCCAGCGAGAAATATATCGCATTTGAAAGTAGGTGTTGGATGAGATTTGAACCCATGACCTTTGTGTTGTGTCATGCTAACTCTTGATACTATGTTAGATGACCAATTTTACCAAAAGGGTAAAATGAAGGTTGAAACCCATAATCAATTTTATACTTTATCACGGTGAGGGTGGTTGCTTTGGGGTGGTTTAGGGTAAGGGTGGGTAGTTTTGTGGTGGTTCGAGATGGGTTGTTTGGGATAAGGAGTGATTTTAGGGTTATTATTAGGGATGAGTGTAGGTGGTTTCAAGGTGGTTGGGGCTAAAAGGAGGTGCTTTTAAGGTTGTTCAAACTAAGATGAGGTGGTTTTAATTAGGGTTGTTCATCAAGGTGAGTGAGGGTGGTTTTAGTGTGGTACGAGTTGTGAGGGGATGTTATGGTTTCGAGGTGGCTATTGTTGGGGAACGATGGTGGGGTGGGTGTTGTTTCTTTCTCCTACCCTTGACTACCTATTCTCTAAATTCAATAATCAAAATTAAATAAGAAGTCATACCATCTTTGCTATTAAATACTTTTATTTATTTATTCTTTTTAAATATAGTTAATGTATGGCATGAGTATTTTTTTTTTTTTTTTTTGGTGTACAAATTATTTTCTTCAACTAAATCTATAATAAAGGTATTTAAGATTATAATATAGAAAACTATAATATGAAGTAAAGAATATTTAACGTATAGAGCCGGGACATCGCCCAAGCTAAACAATAGTTTTATCTTAAAAGTTGTATAGGGGTAAATGTTGCAACTAATACGTAACCTAGGTATTTTAAATAATTTTGATTAATATGTCTTTTTAATTTAGTGTTTAGAGAACTAAACTACAAGGCTAGGGCGGAAGATGAGAATCGATCCTAGGTTCTCAAAAAGCGAAAGAAAAGCTCTAACCACTTGAGTTATCCTTTACTCTCATTTAGATTAACATGCTCGTTTACATTACCTAAATCTTCATCAAAGTTTGTGCCAAAAAGGTGTGTTGCAAACAAAAAAAAAATAGAGAAAGTAATTGGTTTTAGTCACCATACCTAATATGGTAAATTTTTCTTTAATTGATTTTCGCTTTTTAACTAAGAGTTTTCAACACACACACACACATATATATATATATATATATATATATATATATATATATATATATATATATATATATATATATTGAAACAAATCAATTCATTAATAAATAGTCATTCGACATCTACAAATATAATCTAAATTAACAAATACATAAAATTGAAGCAAATTAGGGTTTCTTCATCAAAGCTACGATCGTTGAAAAGATCTTGCACTGTGGTACATCTTTCGCACACATCGCTGGAATATACAACCTTTTCGGAGAGATGGTTTAACGATTTGTTGTAGTCATAAGGATGATTTTTCATCTGATTAGCTTGAATGCATTTGAAAACTTGACAACTACTGCCATCCCGAACAAATCTTTACCAAAGAACTGACAATAGGGTAAAAGATAATTACCTTTTTAATAAATCCTAACACACAAACATACCCTAAACATAAACGAACAACTAAACTAAATAAAACTAATTAATGACTCCACCATAGGGAGACAGATGAATATCTATACTACTTAGGTAGATTTATTGAAACCTAAATTGCAAAACTAAATAAAATTAAGGGAAAAGGGTAGAAAATAGTCGAATTTTCGAAGAAATTAGACTATTTCCAGCCTAAACGACTAAGATTTTGAAGAAACCAAGTCTAGAAGAGAGGACGCGAAAGATTTTTAGGTTTACTTTTTTTTTTCAAGAACTATATCTTTTAGGATACCCGAAATGAAATACGAGTTTCATATTATGGAATAGGAGTATTAAATAATATTTGTATGGAATACACATGTTTGTTCATGAATAAAAAAAATGGTTGTTCATGAAGGCATATACTACTACGAATGAGTAATCTCATATTCACGCACACCTTGATTTTTGCTCTATTTACATAAAATAATTCCTATTTTTTTGTTATCATCTAGATTTTATAGAAATATTATTTATTTCACTTATTTTTTAATTATATACAAGTATATCATTAGCCGAGTGACTCGAGTCAATGGGTAAACATGAAAGCCAATATATACAGCTCATCTAAAAAGAAAAAAATTCAAGTTGATCTCTTAGATAAATCTATAAATATATCTCCTATCACTATATATTGTTTTTCTTAAAAATCAATGCATAAAAATAGCAAAAGGAGATAAAATGAAATATTAATCTCAGAGATTAACTATAATCAGAGTATATCAAATTAACATAAAATAAAATATAATCCATAGAAAGGAGGGTAGGAGGGTTAAACACATAAGCACCTTTGCAAGAAATGCAACAGTAGCCGCATTCTTGTATTCCAAAAGATAGTGAATCATGCAAAGCTGCAGCAAACTAGCAAATCCCTTAACCTAATCCCTCATATCATCACTAGTCAAACTTACATTTGACTGGAATTTGGTGATTGTTGATTGTATCACCACCCACCTTACTACAACTATACTAGTTTATTTCACTAGTCCTTTTTTAATAATTTTTAAATTCCATGTCTAAAAAAATCATGATGGACAACAATCACCAGCACGAACATCTATATTATTATTTTTTTCAAAATACAGAGCAATTCTGCAGTTTTAATTTAAATTAATCTTTTTATTGATTAAAAGAAAATTTCCTTTGATCATATTTTTACTACGGAGTAACAAATAATGAAAATACGAATAACTTAGGGTATGTTCTAATCGAAATTAGTTAAATTGAACTGGACTGAAATGAACATTTTATAAGAGAAGAAAACTAGGAGTTGAATTGAACTGAAAATAAACGTATGAGAACAGACCCTTACTTTAAACTATCATGTAAAATATTTATGTTTTTGAAATATTATGTAAAATAAAAGTATTCATGGTCAAGTACTTCATTGTTATAGTACTCCTTCCGTTTTTAAATACTTGCTCCACTTTTTTTTCGGTTGTTTTAAAATACTTGCTCCATTTCCTTTTATGGAAAACTTTTACAATATTTAATTAATTTCTCACACTTAGTGGACCCAACATAATATTATCTCTCCTCCTATTCTCCCACTACTTTTGCTTTTTACAATTTTTTATTTTCTCAACTATCCCACTACCTCCATATTTTATTACTTTTTTCAATTTCTCTTAAAACTCCGCGCATGGAGAAATGAAGCAAGTATTTAAAAACATAGGGAGTACAATCGCAACATGATAAATAAAAAAGTAATGCATTTTTAGAAAATACAAAATATAAATATAGACGGATATAACATGACTAAGAGTCTGTTCTCATACGTTTATTTTCAATTCAGTAGCTCCTAATTTCCTTCTATTATAAAATATTCATTTCAGTTCAGTTCGGTTCAGTTAAGTTGAGTTCATTCAATGAGAACATGCCCTAATAACGTTGTATATATACGGAATACTCTAGTAGAATACTCTAGGTAGTCAAAGAACAATGTAAAAGTTATAATGTTCACATGATTATAGGGCTTGTTCACTTCAGCCTAATTTCAGTTTAGTTCATCTCAGTTCAGTTCAGCTCCTAATTTCCTTTTCTCATACAATATTCATTTCAGGTCAATTCAATTCAGTGCAGTTCTAATCATTTCAGTTCAATAAATGTGAATAGACCCATGAATAACATAAGAATAAAATAAGGTACTCTACTATGGAGTACACCGTAATCGATAGTGGGTATATGTATGTTTTAAAAACCATGAAAAATCAAATGAAGCGGGTATCATAAAACAACATAAACCTAAAAATAAAATGAAAAATGACAAGGGTAATCTGGTAATTTGGTAAGTACTCAATTAAAAAGAGAGCATGCTAGGGTTCGGCGACCAACAGCAAAATAAACAGTGCTCCTTCACTTGTTTAAATACCAACTCTCTGTCTTTCTACTTTCCGCTGTTTTCTCTCCCCGCCCGCCGCCTCCTCTTCTCTCGTTCATTTTTATCCCGCCATTTTCATTGTGATCATCTCTTCATTTTCCCCCTTTTTTCCCCTCATTTGAACACTCTTCGTTTTTCATTTTTCAATTTCATCTCATTCTTCTTTTTCTCTTCCTCTCATTTCCCCTTTTCTCTCTCAAATTCTAAATTAAAATGATGTTAGATCTAAAGGAAGAAGTAAGTATTCTTTTTTATAATCCTTTCACTCACCCTTTGTGATTATAAAACAAAATAATGTGATGGTTTATTTTGTGTAATTTGTTCTAATTTTGATTTTGTGTTTCAATTTACAGCAACCTTGTTCAGTATCGGAATCACAGAGTAGTAGCAGCGAGTTGCTGAAAAGATGCACGGATTGTCAAACAACAACCACTCCTCTGTGGCGAGGCGGCCCTGCTGGTCCTAAAGTAAGGATTAACCCATTTTTGTTTTCACATTCTCATTACCTAGTCGCGTTAATGTAATTAATCAATTGAGTTTGTACTCTGCAGACGTTATGCAATGCATGCGGGATCAAATACCACAAGCGACGAAGGGCGCTTCTCGGACTCGACAAAGGCAAAGTAGAAAAGAAGAAAATCAGCAAAAACATGAGTAACAACAACAGCAACAAAAGTAGTGGAAGCAGTAGTAATAGTAGTGGAAGTAGCAGTAATGGAAGCCATGGAATGCCACCATTGAAGATTAAAGTTATGGCTTCAGGAGGAATTAGACAAAGTGCTGAGAAATTAAGAGATAAATTAGGTGAAGTTGAACAAGCGGCTATGCTTTTGATGGCTTTGTCTTATGGCTCTGTTTATGCTTAGTTTTTTTTTTTTTAAGAGAAAATATTTTATGTTTTCCGATAATACCCTTTTCTCTGACTAGGACCAACAACATAATTACCCTTATCTTTATTTCCAATGTCCTGTTTTTTTCTTTTCCAATTTTACCCCTGCCGAAATAGGCTTCAAGTTTTGTGGGGTTAAGGGTTTTTTTTTTTCTTTTCTTTTCGGATTTGTTATTTATTTATAATTAGGGCATTGTTGTAAACGTAGATAGTGTGGTGTTATTTTGGCAATTTGCTGAATTATCAAAGGATTTTTGGCTTGAGTATCATGATCATATTATTCATATCATTATTTGTATGTTGTGAAAATTTGTCAAAAGTTGTACAAAAATAGAAGCGGCGGAAGTATTTTCAACCTTTTGATTTGTGATCATACTCATTTCATATCATCCGCAAACTTGAATTAGGTTATTGTTTGCAAATATTGCCTGACGTGTTTTGATCACGTCCTTGTTTTCTATTCACTAATTGCATGAGTTATGGGTTTCATGACTAATGTGCCATGAAATAAATTGATCATGTAAGAATAGTGTGACATTTAAGACGAATAGTCTAAAATCTAAGCACATTTTCATTGTGATCATGGCCTAAAATCAAATAAACAGCCATGAAAGAAAAGTGTGACAATTAAAACGAATAGACTAAAATGTAAGTTCATTTTCATTGTGATCATGGCTTAACATGAAATAAACACTCATAGAAAGAAAAAGTGTGACAATTAAACAAAATGGTCTAGCTAAGCACATTTTCATTTCGATCACGCTCATCACAATAAAGAGATTTGATACGTATACAACATCATTTGAAATTAGACATATTAACAGAAAATTAGGAGTCAAATACAAATTCAATTTAATAAAACTTGTATCTAGTATTTTAGCCAATAAAAACATAACAAATTAGAATTATATTTAGGGACCATATGTAACAATTATATGTGTAGTCTTTACGTCATAGTAAACGTTCAAACTCTGATTAATGAATGCTAAATTGGTCATTTTGGGTATGAAAAAGAAGTGGGGAAAATAAAAAATACATAAAAATTCTACTCAAATATTAAATGTATAAATTTTGAAAAACGGAAAAGAGAACAAATATCGATGAAAGAAAGCAACGTTTCATATTTGGACCTTTGGGTTTATATTCAAACATCCAAATGAATAAGAACATCTGGTTGGTCTTTTCAGTTATGAACATGCATCAGATATTTACAGTAGAAATATTGTTTTTAAGTATAATTTTAAACGGTTTCCGGGCTACCCGGTAATGGCCCGACCTAAATGGGCCCATTAAGAGGATGGTTTGTGGCCACGTGGGTCAAATTCCAGTTTATGAGCCTTGTATGAACTGGGCTAGCTAGCTTGGTTGACCTAATTAAGTTTGAGTCAATTTGCAATGAATTGGCCCACCAAAACATCATCAAAGCCATTCATAATCTATTATGAACTGTATCCAGCAGTGTAGATGCATATAAAATTCATTTTTCAATTGTTATTTATTAATTTATTTATTTTTATTGAATGGAAAGTATATTTATTACTATGTTTTGAATAATGTTTACACTGAATATATATTTTTATAGTTGGTTACATTTTGAATTTTGACACAATTTTAAAATTTCGTTTTGACTATTGCCTGAGATTTGTTCGTAATGAAGAAAGCAATATAATATAGAGGTAATTACTCCCAAAACAAATGCAAATATTTAATGATTGGCTGTTGGCGGTTAACTGATTTGATCAACTATTGACATTGACTAGTTTGATCTATATTGTTTGTTTGACATCAAAAAGTCAAAAGCTACACCAAGCAGTTTTTTCATTTTAACTTAAAGCTAGCTTTTCACCAGTCTAAAAATTCTTTTTATTAAACAAATTTTTTGACTAAGGGTCTGTTCAGATTGATTGAACTGAGTTGAACTAAACTGAACTAATTAGAACTGAACTGAACTGAACTAAACTTATTAGAGCTGAATTGAACTGAAATGAATATTTTATAAGAGAAGGAAATTGAGAGCTGAACTAAACTGAACTTATTAGAACTGAACTGAACTGAAAATAATCTTATCAGAACAAGCCCTAAATGAAAAATCTATTAAAAAAAAAGCCTTTTTATTAAAAAGGGCATTGTAAGATACAAGCCCAAGCCAAAAACATGAAAATAATACAAAGCCCATTCGTAGGATGGACCAGGCTGTATGCTTTCATATTCTGGAAATTTCTAGAGCCCAAATTATTTAGAAGACACGAAAGACATATTCCAGAAGTCACCAGAATAAAATGCCACGATTGACATCTACTCTCTCGTGTCAAAAGCATGATTATTTCTAGTATCTTAATTACACCTTCTAGAAGTTGATTAAATCCACTAATTAATTTCTTTAAAATCTTTCATGTTTTTTAATAAACTCATTGCTCAACTTATAAACATAAACAGAAAAGAACCAAATTCCAGAAATAGAAAGATGTTGCAATCGAGATTAAGAGGTGCTGTAACTAGCAAGAACAACTTAGGGGCAAATTGGACATTTGCTATAAGATTAATTAGTGAATATAGTAAGGCTCCTAAGGTATGTACATTTTCCTTAATCTCTTGTTTCAATTTATAAAATCATCAATTCTATATTTCTATTACATATTCTGTAGTATGCTTATTAGTGTTATTATAAAGGTGTTTAGGATTAAGGTATGTCTTGTTTAGCATGTTTTATGACTAGTATTAGCATTTGACATTTGGACAGGTAAACGATACAATATATTTCAATAGACACTCGTCCTAGATTTTAGTAGGTCATATATGATTTAAGTCGATAGGTTGCATTTTCACATACGATTTAAGTGGATACTAAGAAGCCGAGTTAAACTTCAAAAAAAAAAATAAAATAAAAAGACGAGTTAAAATCATGATTTAATTTAATTGTTGTAATGTATTTTGATTGTATTTAAGGCTTTGAGGTAAGAACAAATGTCCTGCTACTAAGTATATATGTTTGTTACAATCTATATTTTCAAAATAGACTTATCAATTCATTCCAGCCTAGTTAAAATGAAATTGCATCTTGAAAAACTGTTTAAGTCAATACATGCCTCTTATTTTTAGAGGCGTCAAAAGCAAGCTCAACCCTAAAAATATCCGATTTAGATTTGTTTTTGCATGGAAATAATAATTTAGTACGACTCAATTCTAAAATTTACCCGATCTGGCCTCATCAGACCGATCTGATCATCCAAATTGATACCTCTACCTATCTTCGGACGGTTTTGTATAATAGACCTCGTCATATTTCCCTTATGCATCAAGTAATAGTGTTTTTTTTTTTCCGTCTTATATGTTGTTTACTTTGCATTTTTGCTAATAGTTGTATTAGTCCATTAAATACACCTAAAAAATGTTTTTGATAATGTAACATCTGAGACATCACATAGACATAAATATGATAAATTAGTCGATTTCAAGTGCAATGAACAATAATTGACAGTCTAATCTATTTTCTTGTCTTAGGGAAAAGATTCAGAGGAGGCAGAGAAATTCAAAGCGGCCACCGCACCGCCTCGAACAGCCACCAATGAACCTGACCCACCAGTCCAACCAAAGTCACCAATTTCTTCATCCCAAAAGATAGGACACACAGAAGTGGGCCACTCATCAGAGCCCAACACCCAACAAAGGCGTAAAATGTCAAACCAACCGGCCCAATCAGATAACGAAGACGCTCGAAAGGCCCAAAACCGAGCCCAAGAGGAAGACAACAAGAACTACTTCAAAGATCACAAGGCATCTCCTTTATCAGAAGTGGATTTTGCTGATACGAGGAAGCCTGTAACGCAGGCGTCGGATAGTCCGACGTCGTATTACGGGAGGGAACCCGGATTGTTCTGTTTACACCCGAGCAGCAGGATACGGCCGAGGCTTCGTTACTGAGGGCTGTTGAGATATGGAAGTGGAATAAGATGAGGGGTGATCCTGATTCTCCTCATGGTAGAGTCCTAAGGGAACTTCGTGGTGAATTTTGGTGATCAATTGTGATAAATTGGCCAAATCATGCTTAAGATTTAGGGTGATATGTAAACATGCTAGCTATAACATGTAGAAGATGATAAATATGAACACTTAATTTTAAAGTTAGTATGCAATGTCTTTGATTTGTGTATGTAATTAGTAATGTTTGCTTCCAAACTGTTTCATGTGATACATGACGCATTTCATATTATTGAGTATTGTGTAATTGAAATATGGATTATGTCTAATGCTAAATTTTGATACTGTGGCCATAAAGTTATAAGCAACAATTTTTAGTCGGTAAAGTTTCGACTCAAATCGAGTATAATCATAGATTTTTGACTCAAATCGAGTATAATCAGAGATTTTTTCTTAGTTTGCCTGCAAATAAAATAAAGGAGATTATAAAATAAATTTTTGAACACCGTCATTCAAAATGATTACCATCGACAATATTTGGTGTGAGTGGACAATTATGTCCCCCAAAATTTCATATGGACCAAGTTTTGAAGAAACCTAATACAATTCTTCTCGTTTCTAGAGTATGTCAAATATTCTACAATTATGTTGAATATTCAAGAAAATGGTCAACTTTCTAGACGCAACATTATCATGCAAACAAATCTAAAGAATTCTTCATACATCTTGGGGCATTCAACCAATATACATTCAACATCCATTATATACAAATTTACCCACTCACAAAATTACTCATCCATTTACACTAGTCTCCCTAAGCTAGTTAATCTCCTCCTTGTAATTTATTCCACTATTTTTTTTTCTTTTATTTTGAGAGTTTAATTGTAAGAGTTGTATCTCAATACCTTATTATTGGAGTAACTTTGTACTTTCATTTTATTATAGTGGAATTTTTTGGTGCTCGTCGTCGTGGGTTTTTACCTCTATTTAGAGGGTTTTTTTCACGTTAAATATCGTGTCTCCTTTTATTGCTTATCTTACATTTTACCTTTAATTTCTCGTTCTATTTTACATTTCCGCTGCGTGCTCATACCCTAACAAGTGGTATCAGAGCCAGGTTTATTATGTCGACTACTACTAAGTTCGACATCGAGAAATTCGATGGTAAGATAAGCTTCAGCATCTGGAGGATCCAGATGAAAGCCGTTCTAACTCAGAACGAATTGAAGAAGGCATTGGATGGTAAACCAAAGAAGTCATCTTCAATGACCGACGAGCAATGACAAGAGGTAGATGAGAAAGCTCTGTCCGCCATTCAATTATGTCTTACGAAGGAGGTTCTTCGAGAAGTCATACATGAGGAGACTGCTGGCGGTCTATGGTTGAAGTTGAAATCGCTCTACATGACCAAGAGTCTAGCAAACAAACTGCGGCTCAAGGAGAGGCTTTACACCATTCGCATGGCTGAAGGTACATCTCTCCAAACTCATCTCAATGAATTTAATTCTATCATAATAGATCTTGAAAATTTGGATGTGAAGATTGGTGATGAGGATAAAGCTGTCTTATTAATCGTCTCCCTACCTCCCTCTTACAAACACTTCAAGGAAATCATGCTTTATGGAAGTAATGATTCACTTTCTTTTGAAGGTGTTAAATCAAATCTTTTATCAAAAGAAAAATTATTTGACCTTGAAGTTCATATTGAAGATATAGGAGAAGGTTGAAATGTAAGAGGGAGATCTCAAGAAAGAGGAAATTCACACAAAAAGAAGTTTAGATCTAAATTTAGGAGACGTAAACCAAATGTCACCTGTCGTTACTGTAAGAAATCTGGGCACGAAGTCTCTGATTGTTTCAGATTGAAAAACAAGAAGGAAAAAGAAGAAAAATCCAAACAACCTCAAAAATCCACTGAAGATAGCAACGTTGAGACTGATTCTGAAAGTGACACAATGTTACTTATAACCTCTGAAAAGAAAAGTCTCAATGAATGTATTCTTGATTCTGGTTGCACCTATCATATGTGTCCTCATAGAGACTTGTTCACCACATATGAATCTGTTGATTGTGGTACAGTCTTAATGGGAAATGATGTTTCTTGTAAGGCTGTTGGCATAGGATCAATAAAAATCAAGACTCATGACGGCGTTGTCAGAACCTTAACTAAGGTTCGTCACATTCCTGACTTTAAACGCAACTTAATATCCCTTGGTACCCTAGACTCTTTTGGTCACAAGTTTTCGGCTGAAGTTGGAGTTTTGAAGGTCACAAAAGATGCCCTAGTTGCCTTGAGGGCCAATAAGCATGGCAGTTTGTATGTCTTGCAAGGACATACAGTAACAGGTGCAGCAGCCGTATCATCTTCACTATCCGATTCTCAACTCACTCAATTGTGTCATATGTGCCTTGGTTACATGAGTGAGAAAGGATTGGAGATCCTGAGCAAACGTGGACATCTTGGCTCTCCTAGCACGGGTAAGCTGAAATTCTGTGAGCATTGTGTTTATGGAAAGCAAAAGAAAGTAAGTTTCTCTACTGCTACTCACAGAACTAAATATATTCTTGATTATGTCCACTCAGATTTGTGGGGACCTAGTAGGGTCACCTCTTATTCTGAAAAACGTTATTTCATGTCTATCATTGATGATTTCTCCCATAAAGTCAGGGTTTATTTCTTAAGGCAGAAAAATGAAGCCTTCTTCACTTTCAAGAAGTGGAAAGCTCTTTTCGAGAACCAGACTGGGAAGAAAGTCAAAAAGCTTAGGACTGATCATGGTTTGGAATTATGCGAAGATGAATTTCAAGAGTTTTGTGCTCAAGTCAAAATTGCTAGACACAAGACATTGCTTGGGAAGCCGAAACAAAATGGAGTTGCCGAGCGTATGAATCGAACTCTTCTAGAAAGAGCTCGAAGTATGATCTCTAATGCTGGATTGTGGCATTGCCGAGATTTATGGACGGAAACAGTATCCATGGCAGCATATATTGCCAACCGTTCTCCACACTCTTCCATTGACTTCAAAGTTCAAGAGGAGATATATTCAGGTACAATTGTTAATTACTCTCCTCTTAGAGTATTTGGTTGTACTGCTTATGCTTATATTAATGATGGAAAATTAGCTCCTAGAGCTGTTAAATGCATTTTCATTGGCTATTCTTCTAAATCTAAGGGATATAGATTGTGGAATCTTGAGTCTAAGAAAGTCATTCTTAGCCGAGATGTTACTTTTAATGAAAATGCTATGATTAAATCATCTAGTTTGGAGTCCTCTATTGGAGAACATGAAGATGGTGAGAAGGTGGAGTTTGAGATTAGTAGCCCTTCTCACACTTGTAGACACCTAAAAATGTCTCCCCAAAACCAAACCCGATGATGAACAACCTTTCACCGCCATTATTGGTCGGGTTGAGTATTTAATTTTTAGAGTGCTTAAATCCATATTTTCATTTCATAAACCAACCCAATTCCTAGCCCATTTCCAAAAAATAACTTATTTTCCTCTTTTCGTGCCTTTAAACCCAATTCCTTTAAACCCAAAATAATTCATTTCGTGTCCTTTAAAATAATTCATTTTTGCGTCCTTTTTATAAAAACGTTTAATCCAGTTTATTTTGGTCCATAATCTGGGTCCAATGATTAAATAGTTGGATGGGGCTTGAAATGAGCTTTCCAACGATATATATAAGCCCAAATCCGAGTTATAACGAATAAGTTATGGCCAAAATATTAAACTGAGCCCAAACCGAACCTAAGCCCAAACCGAACCTAAGCCCACCTTACCTACGACCCAATGATCATGTGGAGGGTCCAAATGATTTAATCCCAATCCTAAACCAATTAAGATTAATTAGAAGCTTCTATAAGTTTCTAAAAGATCTTAATTATCCTTTTTTAAAAAGATAAGATTAAAGAGTTTGAAATTGAATAAAACTCCTTTTTTTGAAAGTCCTATTTCTATCCGAATTGAAAGACGTTCAAAGATAGACATATATTATTTTTATGCCTCATATTTTTTTATCAAAATTTTATATGGTTGGATAGCTCTTGAAATTATCTTTCCAATATATATTATAATATCAATTCTGAGCTATAACGGAAAAGATATGAATAAAATGTCAAACTCAATCCAAAACTGATACCGTCTCACTATTTCTTCCATATCTTTTATTCTATAAAATATTTTAATCTGATTCTAATTGGGTTAGAAAGTAGACTTCAAGAGATTTCCAACGATATCTTATTCAAATTATTCCGATTTCTGGATCAAAAGATATGATAAAAACAAAAACCGCAAAAACTGCTGTCTATCGAGTTTTATTCCGATTTAATTCGGATCTTATCTTGTTTTTTCGACCTCTCTTTTTTCTCTATAAATAGAGGTCATATCACCCCTTTTCCAATCATCAACAAGATTGATCTCAAAATAATTCTCTTCTCCCTCTTTAGCCTAAACACTAGCCTCCCCATTCTTTCACTATTCCTTCCTTTAAACACTCCAAGGAGTCCATACAATACCTGAAATTCTATACTTTAACCAAGGGGTGAAAGGTATAATTGACTGAGGGTTTGGATCAAATAAAATCTAATGTTTATTTAATTTAATTATTTTAATTTACTTTATATTTTTATTGAAGTTACTGACAGTTTATTCATGATGTAGCAATTTAAAGGAACGCGTGGAATGTGAGTAATTAATTAATTTAATTACTCTTATTTTATTTTAATATTTCTAGCATCATGATTAGGTTATTTTATATTTGATTTGACTAATGATATTATGGTTAAATTGCTTCCAATATTAATGTTAATTCTATTATTATTTATTGATCACCATATTGCATGTTTAAAGGGAATATGTAATTGCAAATCACGCCTAATAAGATAATTTGGACGACCGGTTTAGGTTCCTTTTTAATCTTGTTGTTAAATCAAGTGATCACAAAAATATTTTATAATTATATGTTGCATTAATATTTAACCAATTTAGCATAATAATAGTTTGGAGCAAATTGAATATTTTGTTTGTATGCCTTTGAGATCGCAGGAATCACCTTTCACTATAAGAATCGAGTAGAGGCCAATACGGGCGAATGTGACTCCATGACTCACTTCGTACAATCATCCCCGATCCTCCTTTCGTGGTTCCAAACCATATGGAGTTAGTAATCTCACGGATTATGAATGGGGTGTAACCTTCACGGGTCAATCGTTGTCCCTTATCGTGGTTGCCTTTTTATGATCCGTGAACGGTTTACAAGTTCCTTAAAAACTTGTTGGCGGCTCCCTACTTTATTTGTCCCTAATCGTATTG